CTAATATTCATACTAGCAATCATCAAATCAGCTGCCGTAGCCTTAGTTAGCGCCATATAGGATTATTTATTCGATTACTATTTGTTTCATCTCCATCGAGCGACCAAGAAAAGAGAAGACAAAGTAGGAAAGAAAAAAGATTCATGATAAATATGTAAAGAGTCGAGCACTGATGAGTATGTGTTACAGAACGGAAGAAAGCATTCTCACAGCTGCACATTAAATAATTTACTGATAAATAAGAAAGAACATAACAGCAGAATTGATAAAGAAAAAATGTTCGAGAACATACCTCTGCAGATAATCATTCAGCCACTAATGTAAGGGACTTGTCAGCATTGCGAACAAAAATACGACCGTTTCTAGTAATAACTCGTTTTTTCTCATTATCCTCGAATTGATCACGTGTACGATGGAAACGAGCTAAAGCCAACGGTGTTAGATCTTCGACGACAGTAATATTCAATTTTTTTCCTTTTAATTGACCGAGAGACGATAATATAAGTTGACGAATTGGTCGAGAGTACAAGCGAGCAATAATCGGTCGTGGTTTCTTTTGCCGTTGATTTGTATAGGGTAGACGATGACAGTTTTCAATCACATTTGCATTCAGCTTCAGATTCATATGCGTGTTAAAAAAATCTATTAGACGATCTTTAACATTTTCGTATTCACGCTCTTCAAAACCATAAAAACGTAAATTAAACGATCGATTGTACCGTTGTAAATCCTCAGTTTTTGCTTCTACTTTAGCTAATCGCGCTTCTAGCGCGCCAAGACGTTCACCAATTTGTTTGACGATGCCATCGTACATAACATCAACTATTTTATCTGCTGACTGAGTGACGGAACCAGAATTAGTTTGAACAATATCAGCTACAGCACGTTGTAACATAGAATCCGATTTTAATGCTTCAATAAACGTTGCCCTATCATCTTCTGGTGAAAGCTCGGATCTTAAACGTTTTAAAGATGGAGATATAGTATCCTCATCAAATTTTTTAGAAAGAAGACGAGCCTGATCAGGAGTAGCCATTGTATAATCAGTGAATAAATTAATAATATTTAATTAACTGTGAGAATATTTACCCGCTTACGAACAATCACACATACAACCTTTCAACAATGAAAAAAAAACGAGAATGAAAAAAAAACGAGAATCGTATACTTTTAATAGCTCCAACGATATCACGTATTCATGAGAATATTTGGTGCTTGCTCCGCGCTGAGTTAAATTGGATAAAAATTGGGCGCCAGATGCAAAACTTGTCGGTGAATCCGACAGCGGGTTCCTTATAATTACATCTTCACTTCTTTTTGGCGCCGACATAATCAACGTGGTTTTTTGCCTAAATTTTATTTTTCTCAATGATGCCTTTTTTTCAACCAATGAGAAAAATAAAATTTAGGCAAAAAACCACGTTGATTATGTCGGCGCTAAAAAAGAAGTGAAGATGTAATTATAAGTAACTCGCTGTCGGATTCACCGACAAATTTTGCATTTGGTGCCCATTTTTTATCCGATTTGGTTCAGCGCGGAGCAAGCACCAAATTTTCTAACGTGAACAATAACGTTGAATGTATAAGTTGAATTTAAATTACCGACTGATAAATAAACAATAGCACATGCCAATGCTGTGAAACCAATTATTGTATGGCAGCTCGGAGCTAGATAGTGAAGAAAAAATTTAGACAAATTCCACACTTTGGTTAACAACTTAGGATCTGATCACTACTCACTTTTTTTCAAGAAAATGTCTAGATGAGGAAATTGAAATTATAAAATTTTGTTAAACTTTTACGTTGAAGTTTGAATTTTTCTAAATTTTAAAATTGATTTTCGTGATCAACGTGAAAAACGCCCATCAGATAAGTGATCCAGAACAGTTTTCTTATTCAGCAATAAGAGATGTGCTTTACCTTTTTCCGTAAGTTTATTCAACAAAAATTGGAATACTTAGTCAAAACTGTGCAACAGAGCATGGACCAATTTCATCCGGAATATCAGAAAACGGCGCCAATTTTCGTTATTATGCTTAAGTATTAGAAGTTGTTGTAGTTTTGTATAAATTATTTTGTTTTTCTCCTGTTACATCTCGATGACATAAAAAAAAACCACTGTTTTTAGTAAGTACTTTAGAAAAATATTCTGTACAGAAAATATTGAATGTATTCATCATTTGAATTATATCTTCAACATGCCATTTTTGGATTAATTTTTCACATTTATTCAAATATTCTATTGTTATTCGAACTGCTTAATTTATCATTGACTAATACTGTTTGTTATTCATTTAGATCAATATTCACTGGTATTCCACATACACCACCCCACTCATCGATAATTTTCTTATAAATTAATATCGTTAATAAAATAATGCTGACATGTTGAACCACGGAATATATCACACACACGTAATTAATCGAAAGTTTTACTAGATCAACATTACTGTCGATCAGATTATTCAATCAGTACGTCTGCTCTTATTAATTTGCTCCATCTTTGGTGGGCATGAGAGTTTCTAAGTTTATGACATTCAATGAATCAAAATACGTTGTGTTTCACATAAACATAAAATACTTATCTAGATAGTGTAGCAGAGTTGCGCGGGATAGTCTCGTTCGGACCCGAACCGTCCAGACGGGTTGGAACGGATACATTTCAGAAAATTTTTGACGAAACAGGGCGGGACGAAATGCTCATGAGACGAGACAAGTTTCTTAAAAACTGTATTCACTAGCGCCCTAGCGAATAATCAGTGAAGTCAAAATAAGTGGAACTATCATGGAAGTTTTCCTGGTTAAATTTTATTGAAGAAAATTCGTTCAATAAAATGCGCGAGATAGAATGTTAAATGATGATAAAACCTTACGTTTTTTGTTTACTATTTTTTATTGGAACGACTGTTCTCTCCTCTTGCTCCTTGTGTACTTCAGTCGAAAGAATTCAGTGTCCGCGCATAATCAGAAATCATTTTCTCCTCGTTGGGTCGTCATTCATCGATGATCATGACGTCAGAATAGTGAAATAAAGTTTGAAAGAAAAATGCCTAATCCATATACCGCGTAAACAACTTTAGAGGAGATTTTCATTAATTGTGATTGTCTTAGGGGTGTAAGGATCAAGATTTTGGAAAAATTTTTCATATAGCATATGGATGACGCTAAAGTGTTGAAGTTTAAAATTGTTGATAATCCGTTTGAAACAAAATCATCAATAAAAAGCTTAAATAAAAATAAGTCATCAATATAGGGTAGGATAAGTTCGGCTTCCCCGCTGAAGTAGATGAAAATGGTGAATTTCATGTAATAATCAAATAGATGGCTTGCTGCAAGAAGTGTTGTCACATACGTTTTGAAAGGCAGTTCAACTACTGGTTTGAATCCGTCCTCACAAATGTCCACTTGTAGATAGATGGTCAGACAAGGTTAACTGTGACTGTTAACTGTGTGTTGTAGTATGGTGTCAGAAATAACCGCGAAGGCGAGACAGGATTAAGTCTTTACTGGATACGACCGGACGGGACAGGTTTTAGAAAATTTTTGACGAGACGGAACGGCACAAAGTCCTTTTGGGATACAACGAGACGGACGTGAAAAACATTGTCCCGTGCATCACTGTAGTGTAGAATGATATAGCCTTCTTATTGTTATTATGAATATACAGATTTTTTAAATATTTATAATAAATATTTCTTGTAATACCATTCAATATCCGTTTCTCTGTTGAACGTAATTGAGCAAGAAGAATTTCAACGGCAGAGAATGAATAACGAAATGTTTACTTATATTAGTTGTTCTTTTAACATATTGGTATCAAACGCCTAGGAACAAATTTAATTTTTTCATATAATACTGACCGATTGGAAAGGTCCTTTTTAGTCGATCTATACAACAACAACTCTAGTTTACAATCTCTCAAGGTTCAAGGAAAGGTTATAATCGATGCAAACAAATTAGTCTACAATGAAAGTCCACCATTAAACTGTGGATTGAACCAAGATCAGGAGAACGTTTTTATCCAGTAAATATAACTAAGGATATTAGCAACTCGACTACAGAAACCACACTACGAAACCAAAACGCTAGATATGAATTTAGGAAACAGAATAGGAAAAACTATAAGGAGTATTTTTGTTGAACCTTGAGAGATTTTTCAGATATGTTTGTTGTTTAGTTTATCAACACGTTCTTCATCAATCTTCTGTTCAAGTTGTACTTCTATAAAAGAAATGTCATCTTCGATATTATTCGTTTACGTTGTATATTTCAATCTAGGTGCATTGAAATAAAATAAAATAAAATAAAAATAGCCTAATTTTCTTTAACCCTTTCGTCATTCTAGTTTAGAGAAAGGAAAAATACGAAAAAGAAAAAGTAGAGCTATAACTAACTATATGTAAAGAATAAGAACGGTCACATTACACTTTTAATATCTACTGTACACATTACATTGTAAACTAGTCTAGAATTATTTTTGTATATAAGGCGCCACTAATTCAAAGAGTGAGTAAGATTTTATTTTCGAGTTTGTTACACATATTCGGATAGAGAATTTCATGCTGATTCCGAATATCATCTTTTTAGCTTGATTTAAGCAAGTTTTGAGGGAGAAAACTTCGAGATACTGGGAAGGACCAGAAAACGTAAAAAACCGCTAATTGTCAAAACTTTCGCTCTACTTTTTTCCCTTCGTATTAAAACTCTTTGACACAATTTTTTCCGAACTTCTCATCAAAAAATGAGTCTAAAAAACTGTCTTTCAAAAACTTTGATCGAGATTTGAAGTTTTACAAAATTTAAAAACTCAGGTCGCTCCAGGCTCGACCCCTTCATCTTGTAAACAACATGGAGCCTTACAGGTGAGAGATAACCAATTTATTTTTGCGCCAAAAGAAGCGCCTTGCAATTTAGAACAAAGTTATATGTGTACATTTTTGATTTTTTCCTCTAACGAGGAGAAAAAAATAAATATGGAAAAAAAGGCGTTTAAACCCAAAATCGGCCAAGTGATTCTTTCATAACATACACTATTTTCATTCAAATTGAGTTAAATTACTCCACAATAGGTAAAAAATGATGACGAAGACGATGCAACTAATAGCGCATCACGAAAAGGTCTCTGGAGGGTGTTCAGAGGATCTCCGGAAGCTCTCCTGGAGGTTTTCTGCGGAAAGTTTAATTCCAAATCTCATTTCGTACGAAATCATGCTTTCACACCGTCGTTATTTTAGCTTTTATTCCGTTATCTGCCTGCACTGATGCCAAAAAAAGACATAAAAAATAAAAGTCTATAAAATATCTGACTGATGCCTTGCTACTGTATAAAAAATAGCTGTGTAACATAACTTCAAAATCAAACTGAACTGTTCAGATTAGCGTTCGTAATTTTCCTGTGAGACGATATCGAACCTTTACATAACGAGCTGGTCGGAAAAGAATTGTTACGCGGTGCCGCTGATTTTCCGATCGGCGCACAGGTCTAGTCTAGCCTACACCTGAGAGTAGGAGTATAGAGAGAGAGATTATAGAACGAAAAAAGTGATTAAGAATCCCATGATTACTTATGTTCAAAAGATAATGGGGGAACTGATTTGATAATGATTAGAAGAAAGTAAATACTAGCACAATTTTTTCTCGTAGTCAAGTAAGGTAAATTCGCCAACGAACAGTAATACATAGATCTAATATATTTTTCTTCAAGTCGAGAGAAAATGGAAGTTTCTCCCCAGTTCCTTTTAGAACTAGTATCCCTGCTGAGATTATGATCATCATATTGTTTTCATTAACTTTTCAAATAACTTTATTTTTCTATCCGACTGTGGCCACAGCGAAAACGATCCAAAGCTTGCAAAAAACTAGTGCCTTTTTATTTCTAATAGTTCTAACTTTTTGAACTATTTGCTGATAAATGGTTTTAATGCAAAGCACTTTTGCAAGAAAAACTTACAAAATGTTAAATAACCCCTCACAATAAACAGAAAGATAATTTGCTAAGGAAATACTAAGCTATATTTATTTAGAAAAAAAAGTTAAAATATTTTCTTAATGAGCCGTACTCACATCCTGATGAGGTCGCCACATCTTGGTACTATTTTCTTGTGTTCTGTCTATAGAATACACGCACCCGTACGGCCAGCTTTCAAACTATTTGATGGTCAACACACAGCGCCCTAACCAGAGTGTGAATATGGCTCATTGCTTAAAAAGCAAAAAAATTATTGAAGACTTTCAGAATCACTTAAATTTCATCTGCATGCATTTCTAAGAGAATATAGCATCGACTCACTACCATTCTGCAGGAATCTGAAAGCTCAATAGGTGACTCTTTAAAAGACGATTTCAAACGCTCACTACTGTTTGTTGTTGTTCTCTCAAAGCACAGAAAAGCGCGTATCGAAATGTTTAGTATAAAATAAATATTGACTTCGTATAAGCGAAAGAATATCTCGTGAAAATAAACGAAAAAAGCAATTTCTGCTCACAACTCAACTTCGTTTTTCAACTTTTTTATGGCGCACTTATGTCTGTTTCTAGAACTGCGAAAACAGAAAGAAACAAAAAATCTGTTGTACATGTTAAAGATGATGATGTAGAACACTGCAAGTCGTACAAAGCACTGCTCAAGTCAAGGAAGAATCAGATATACAGTCAGGTGTTCACAGGACCCATAATAACGACAACAAAAGCACACCCAGTAACAACCCTAACAGTGGGAAATTTCCTGACCGCAAGCGACATAAGTCAGATACAAAACGTATACTCGTTTACAAAACCTACTCTAATCCAAATCGAAATATCCATTACGAATACCTTCATGACACACGAACTACTGAACCCTAAAGGAACCGGAATAGACGAACGAGGATGGCCAAAACTATGGGCAACATGGGACAGAGGTGGTCTCAAACTGAACAAACCAAAATGGGAACCGGAAAAAGATATACCTCCTGACCACCCAATGTACAAACCATTCTATGGAGCAAACAAACCCGTGCGATTCAAATATGTTCCGCCGAGAGACAACATCAGAATACTAACAGGAGTACTAGCGCCACAAACAAAACTTTCAGATATTTTCAGTCCAAACGTCATCTCTTCACAGAAACCGCAAGAAATTTACATCCACTGGGCAGACGTGCTCAACTGGCATGCAGATTCAACAATACACTGGCAAATTACATGCACAATGCACATGCAACATACAGTGTCAAACAAAGGTCTTCATTTCGCACCATAACAAACAAGCAAAGTATTTTCTTTTTATTTTTATTTCATGCAACAAAAAACGTTTGTAAATAAAACTATTTAGCCTTGATTTTCTCTATTCATTATACGCTGCTGTGTAGAAATACTGGGGTTACTCACAGTCACATCCCCACCCCCACACCCCGCACCACCCGGGCAACAAAACATCTGATGATCGACATGAAATATTTGCACACGACGTGCGAATTCCGGATAATCTATATCATCTTTCTCGTTACTTGTGAAAATGAAACGAGCACGAGTTAACACCAATTGATCGTCCTTGTATTTACCTTGTACACTAACAGGTTTCCCATCCATAAGAGACAATAAACGCGATATCTCAGTACGATAATTGCTAATTCTAAAATCTTCGAACCAAACGTACTCAAAATCTTCTGTTAAACCCGACCACATATACGGCGAAACACTTGAAGGTCTCCATACACGTTCACCTTTCATGTAGAAGTCCACCAATTCTGTCTTCCCAACACCAGGTTCACCCCACAAATAAATATTACCCTTGTTCTCACCAAACCAGTAGTCAAACCGCATAGTGAATCCACACGACACATTCGGTAATATTACCTCACGTTGGTCAACTATCTCCACTCTTCTTCGGGACAACCATTCATTGATATAACTAATGATCGTTGACCTATTATTCCCATGCATTACTAGGAATGGATCCATAAAATCAACCTGGTACCGAGATATATAATGATCCTCCACATGCGACGACAACTGCGCACCAAACGATAACTCCTCCACGCGCACATTAAAACGAACCGGATTAAAGTCATATTTTGTACAGTACTTGAGCCAATTCTTTTGACTTTTACACACCGAAACATCGATTGACAAATTGTCCGACAGACACGTAACACAACTACGAACATAATCTAAATTTACGTCCTCCGAATATTCAACGAAGATATGATGATGGCGATCGATAGTGTCATCATGTAACTCCTCTGCAACCAAATAACGTTTCACTAATTCATCTTGACTAAACCAAAATGCTGATTCATCTTTACTCCAATCGACATGTGTAATAGTAACACTGTATAATTTACCCTTCCCGAACTGCAGTTGTCACTTGTTTTGATGATCAGCAGTTGTCAGTTGTTGTTTGTTTAACTATAAAGAGAAAGACACACAGTACAATATATTTCAAATCAAAACTCTCGTTCAAACAGCATATTTAACTGTTCTTTTGGATCTTGAATAAAATATAGAATCGATGGGATAGTTTTTGGAAATAAATGACATTTTTCTCTGTATAGAGCCAAGCATGTGTAGGGTCTGGATCTAGCACGAAAAAGAAATGAATGAACATATTTTATATCAAATCGGAAAGTAAAATTTCTTTAAGCGTACTAAAACTCAATCTTTAAGTCTAAAAACTTTCTCGCAGATTTCACTCTCTCTCTTGTAGAAAAATTTCTCTATCCATATGATAAACATCGGATAGTGGTTTAGATCTGACACGTTGGCATTGTTTGATCATCAGCGATGGCTGTGGATGTTTGCTGTTGTTGTTGTTTAACGGTTGTCATGTTTTTCAAGAATAATTTTTATTTAAGTAGTATTCTCCCGTTATGTGATTATTCGCTTGCCTTCTCTTTCTTCTTGATTGTTACTGAAATTCAAAAATAAAGATGTTTCTTTTGTTTTAAATCATTCGTTTACGCCAAACAAAATTTCGGTTTACAGGTAAGACGTTTTCCTCATTGTTTTTTTTTGTAATAAAGACTCGAATCGTGGTAGACCTAGCAGTTCTTGATGTTAATATCAAAAATGCAGAGTTTCATGTGTGACGTGTCTAATATGTATTCCTCATATTCAAAAAGAAAGCACCAGAGGCTCTGCCCGGTATCTAGCTCATTGTTTTGCTTATTTTTCTTAAATTAAATTTTTCTTCTTTTTTTTAACACCATATCATTGTCAAAAACGAATTTTCAGTCAAGGGTCAGTGAATCGAAGATGAACGTTAATTGTTATTAAGAATCTTCTTCTAGAGATTTTAAACCATAAGTCTGAGGTCAGAAAATTTTATCTTCTATCGAAATCGAGAGACTGATTGCTTCCTTTTCCTTTTTTTACTTTAAAAAGAAAATAAAGTAAAAAAAGACAAGAAAGTAGGAAGTCCACCATGGTCTATGTATTTCGAATCACTTATATGAAAGGATATAAAAAGCAAAGTAGAAAGTAGTCAGTCTGTCTCTCTCTCATGCATCTAGCAAGACATATTCTCCAGACATACCACCTGTACTTCATCATTTCTGTTCCCACTTGTGCATAGTTCAAACATCTTTTGAAACAATAACAAAAACAATGTTAGCTTCATCATTATTGGTATTTCTAAGTTTTTTAATTACAACAGATATTTTGGTTAATGTTAATACTTATGATGTTACCGGACAACAAAAACGTAAGATAGATTTGTTGTTATTCGCTGGTTAAAAGTTAACCAGATCAGAATAATCGAGAAGATAAAATCATTTTCTATTTTGATGCGCTTAGTAATATGCCAAGTAAAGTGTTCCAGTTTTAATTTAGTTGATACAGGAGTCTACCGGCGAGAAAGTTACAAAAGCATCTACTTCGCTGCAGAAAGCAAAATTTATATCTCAAAATGGAGAGAAACTTATCGTTTTTCTAAGCTGACGTGTTTTCCCGATTTCAGATATCGTTGTTATATATGCTGTTTTAGATGGACGAAAGTATAGCCGTTTCGAGACATGTACATATATATACCGAGAGAGAGCCCCATGGCTGTTTCTGTTTACAAAATCAATTTTTTTCTTTTTGTTTTACCTAATTTTTACTGTTTTAGATTACTTTTTTTGTTTCAGACAGTTTTTCTTTGTTGGTACATATTTTTTGTTTGAGTTGAGTATCCATACATGTGACACTTCGCGTGTTTTCGCCATCAATTTTTTTAAACGTGTAGATTGAACAACAATTTTTATTGTGTTTAGCTTGTATAATTCTATCACCATGACAGATTAACAAGCAAAATGAAAAAATTAATGGTGTATAGTACACGAAGGTTTTTTTTCAGTTTTTCTTTCATTGCATTAAATACATCGATTAATGAGCCATATTTTTATTCTGGTGATGTCGCCACATCCCGGTACTATTTTCTTGCTCTTAGTCCATGGAGTACATGCACTCGTACGGCCAGCTCTCCAGTCGTTTGACGGTTAATGAAATAACCGACAACATAACATGAAATTCACCATTTTCATCTACTTCAGCCGGGAAGCCGAACTTATCTTACCCTATATTGAGAATTTTTTTTTATTTAAGCTTTTTATTGATGATTTTGCTTCAAACGGATTATCAACAATTTTAAACTTTTAAACATAGCGCCCACAGTAGGATGTGAATATGATACATCATCCTGATAAATTATGCACTGATTCAATTTATTTTTCTTCATTTTGTTAATTGATTTATTATTTAATAAACCAATGGGTATCTGTTTACTACAACTTCGACTTTTATTCAAAATATATATATATGATGTTCTAACGAACATTGCAGACGTATTGACGGGCTGTTTTCGATGGAAAGAGGTCGAATTAGTGGTGATAGTAGGAAATGATATGCATGAAGCAGCTTTAAATATGGTAAAAGCAGATGATGGCGATTATGAACATTGTCTGTCATCCCATTGATCTAACGTTGTCGTTAGAATTAGTCAATAGCTCTGTTGATGCCGTTGAAAAATTGTTAGACTGAGAAGCAAGTTTGAAGATTTTCGTCGTCTATAATGGATGTCTTTTCTACATTCTATTATGGTAGAATGAATGAAACGTAGTTTGCCATCACTAAACAGTTTGGAATTATCCTCCATGAAGCGTGTTTGTATGAAACATGTATAAGTATGAGAACGGAAAAGTTTTCCTTTCTGTGAAAAATCAGATGTCAAGATGAGAAAACATAAGGTAATAAAAGTTAAGACATTAAAAATAAGGGCAGATAAGCTAACGAGCGAACATATTTGAGTGATCCTCCTAGAAAAGAGACGAGACCTAGACTATTGTGTAGAAAATTTTACGCTGATCACGAATATGTATATCTTAGCTGCCCTCGTTGCGATCTCGATGCGAGAGAAAACATGAGTTTTTACGCTGTATCAAGCTTTTTCGACATGAAAACAATTTTTTGAAACTTTAAAAAATATATTTTCCTAATCAGCTCAACGAGCTCTATCGAACGATGCATAATAAGTTCAAAAGAAATTTGCTCAACGCACCTTAGGCAAAATAAATCATATTCTCTCTCGCATCGAGAGTGCAACGAGGGCAGCTAAGATATACATATTCGTAATCAGTGTAAAATTCTCTACAAGATAACTAGATCTCGTCTCTTTTGAAGAGGAGTCAATCAAATATGTTCCCTCGTAAGACAAGGTTGAGAATTTCTGTTTTTTAGTAGGTGATATTGTCTTCCAACTCACTTCCACTTAAACCTACGCACGATCTCTTCTTACATTCTTAATTATTAATTTTTACATTCTTGATTTTCTTCCGTCGTCGAGAAAAGTAGACTTTACTGGGAAAAATTGGAAAATTTTTAAAATATGTATCATTCGACTCAATTTCGACGCTGATTCCGAATATGATACTTGCACTGTGTAAGAGGTGAGTTCTGATGGAGATAATTACTGACTAATTAGGGCCACAATTCCAATTTCTCCTAGTAAAGTCGACTTTTCTCGACGAGGGAACAAAATTCCAAAATGGCTCATATTTTAATCTGTCACCCAAAATATGGTTTAAAAAAATTAAAAATGCTATATTCTTACTCAGCTTGATGAGTTCTATCGAATTATATATGAATCTATCGATAATGTTTTCTGCTTAACTTTTGAATTTGGAGCACCTTATTTGTTTGGAATATCGACTGTATTTGCTTTTGGTTTAGTTGTCAAACCAATTCCACTTGTGTCATGTGAGTGAGTTTAATTTATGATCCGATGGTGATGTCGAAACTGACTTTAATGTGGAGGAATGCTTGTATTTATTAGAAACCTGTTGTGGTAATGATATAATTGGAAATACTGGTATCGACGGAATATATTCCTAGTCATGTGTTCATTCTTTTTTTTATTATTTGGTTTAACGCTTTATTTGTTTTTTTCGGTTTTATGATATATGTTTTCGTTGCGAACAATAAAAAAAAGCTTTTCCGGTTCATGTGCGCGTATTTTTTCATCCAGTAAGTATGGCTTGATGATTTGGCCAATTTCATTTATGTTAATTGTGAAAAACTATACATTGCTAAAGTTGTCTTATCAAACAAAATGAAATATGTGGCTTGTCTTGAAGATATCGTGCAACGACTAATGTCATTTTTCCTATGTATTACTTTTCAACGAAAATTTTGATCCTTCAAAATCTCAATTTTCCAATTGATCCGGGTTTTAAACAGGACTTCCTACTACAGAAAAATTAGGAACTATGTGATTTTGTTCACTTTTCATCAGGCTTTCGACTGAGATGTTGCTCGAACGGAACTGATAAAAACTGGCAGAGTTATGGTCAAAATATCAGAGATGGCTAGTTTTCGCAAATCGACGATGGTGCTCATTTTGTAAATTCTATAACTCAGCCAGAATAAGTCAGAAAGTTCTTTTTTATTTTTCATAATCCCAGTTTGATAGTAGAATCCGAATATGAAATAAAAAGTATATGTCAATCTTTCACTCGTGATCGGTCTTTGGCAAGATACTCGGTCGACTGGCAAAGTCTCTCGTAAATGTTGCCAATAGATGAATAAAAAACTCAATAGAATTTCACTACCTCATAGAAATCGAAATTCTTTTAAATTTTCTTGCTATAATTTAAGACAGATAAAAATAATTTAAAACTGAATCGATTCTAATTATAATAAATTTATTTTTATTTTTTCATCTATGATTGAATAGAAATTAATTACTCTATTAGAGGGCGGCGAGAATACACCAGAAAAGTGTAAAATCGATTTGTCTACAAAGATGTGGCAGCAGCATTGATGAAATTTCCGCGACCGGGGGTTTCGTTATTTTAGTGTTATCCAACCCAAACAAGCGGAATAGAAAATATTCCATTATAGTATCTCGGTTATTTGCTGAAAATAACCGTTGATGAGTGACTTGACTGCAAATAGAATTGACAAAACACAAGGTTCGTTGTGTAAAAGTCGTCTTTATGATCTGGCTGAAGCTGCGATATAGAAAAGCCCCGATTTGCCAGGTAGAAAGCCTCCTGTGATAAGAATAATAATGGGGATCAACTCCCTCTTAAGTGGATGTTAATTCTCTATTGATAAAATAAATAAAGCTTTAAAAAAAAAGAAGTAACTGAGAACATTGAGTTCACATTTGAAATGGAAGTTCATAATTCTCTATCCTTTCTTGATGTTCATGTGATAAGAAGTGTTTCTCAGTATTCAACAACTATCTATAGAAAATCTACTTTCACAGGTCTAATTATGAAATGGCAATCATATGTACCGTTATCCTATAAGAGATCGGTTATTACTGGAATGATTCATCGAGGAATTCATATATGTTCTACATATATTTTGCTAGAGGATGAACTGAACAATATTAGAGAAATAACAAACAAGAATGGTTATCCTCGTTCGTTCGCTGATAAACTAATGGAATGAAATTGAGTAAATGGTACACTGGCTCTACTATCAATAATACGAGTAATAATAATGAAAAGAAGAAAATTTGTATTGGAGTACCATTTATTAACAATGCTACTAAAGTGTTTAAAAATGATCTACGGAAATTTAGTACCCAGATTCGACCTGATATTGAGCTATTAGTAATTGAAAAACCATCACCCTCGGTACAAACATCTTTTAATCTTAAAGATAAAATACCCAATTATTTACAATCGGACATTGTGTATGGGGTGAAATGCCAAGAGTGCCCATCAAACTATGTTGGGAAGACTATTCGCCAAGC